TTGACTGTGTGGATCTATAAATTATGGATAACATTGTGAAAAATGGGAATTTCAAAACACTTAATTGTGCTCATAAGGAACCTACACATAGATCAAGAGGCAGTTGTTCAAATAGAACAGGGGAAAACTGTGTGGTTTAAATCAGGAAAGGTGTGCATCAGGGCAGGTTCTTTCACCATATTTATTCAAGCTGTATGTTGAGCAAATAATTCAAGAAGCAGGACTATATGAAGAAGAACATGGCACCAGGATCAGAGGAAGACTCACTAACAACCTGAGATATATAGATGACTCAACCTTGTTTGCTGAAAACAAAGAAGACTTGAAGCCATTACTGGTGAAGATCAAAGACTACAGCCTTCAGTATGGCTTACAACTGAACACAAAGAAAACAAAAATCCTCACAACTGGACCAATAAGCAACATCATGATAAATAAAGAAAAGACAGAAGTTATCAAATGTTCCATTTTACTTGGATCCACAATCAATGCCTACAGAGAAGCAGTCAAGAAATCAAATATATCGCTTTGGGCAAATCTGCTGCAAAAGACCTCTTTAAAATGTAAAGAGGAAAGATACCACTTTGAAGACTAAGGTGTGCCTGACTCAAACCACTGTCTTTTCAATTGCCTCATATGCACATGAAAGCTAGATAATCAATAAGGAAGACTGTAGAATGATGCAGTTGTCAAAGAATACTGCCATGGACCACCAGAAGAATGAACAAATCTGTCTTGGAAGTACAACCAGAATGGTCCTTAGAAAGGAGGATGGTGAGGTATGTGTCACACACTTTGGACTTGTCATCAGGAGGGACCAGCCCCTGGAAAGGACATCACGCTTGGTCAAGTAGATGGTCAGTGAAAAAGAAGAAGCTCCTCAACAAGATGGACTGACACAGTGGCTACAATAATGGGCTCAACCATAGCAATGATTGTGACAATGGTGCAGGACCAGCCAGTATTTTGTTTTCTTTACATGGGGGTTTCTATGAGTTAGAACCGATTTAACATCATTTAACACGAACACTGTATTGTCACTGGAAAAACTCAGAAGTCTGCAACTAATGGAAATGTTTTTTTGAAAGCAGAGGGAGCTTTATAAACAATAAAAACAAACAAACAAACAAAAAATGTTAAAGTGAGATCTTTGCAGTATGCACTAGACTCCTATACTGCTGCATTACATTGAACAGATTCACACTTCAGCAAAACATGGAACAAAACTCAAAATCATAAAAAAGACTAGGCTTACTGGTCAGATAGTGACTGGTGAAACTCCCAAGACTATGGCCCCTAGTCACTCTTTAGGTCTGGAATTGAACTCACTTCTGTGGCTTCCAGCCAAACAACTGACAGGTGTAAAAAGTGAACATTTACACCAGGTCCTTAGAACAATCACTCATAGGAGATCAGAAGGGCAATATTTGCACAGGGAGACAGCTCAGAGGGCAGAAACGCATAGGAAAGAAGGACACAGGGAGGAAGTGGGGTGAGAGCTGTTACATTATGGGGAGTGCAGTCAGTGTCATGAAATAAAATGTGTGTGAGCTGCTGTATGGAAAATGAATCTGCTCTGTAAACTTTCACCCAAATCACAGTTTAAAAAAGAGACAGAGATAGAGATTTAGACTTTAAAGGGATACTGTCTACAGAACATTAGGATTCTAAAGCTATTGCTGTAAAATCACCAACCAGGTTTGGACAGAGTTAGTTTAACTATGCAAGAGTATAACATAGTTGATCTTGAACCTACTGATTATATTCAATTATAGCAATTCCATCAACTCTTAAGAATATCTTTTTTTTTGTCTTTACTTGGCCTCATTTCCCATTTCCTTGATCATACTGTATAAAATCCTTTGCTGTAAGGTTCCAAAAAACTTTGGGAAAATGCAGAATGAAACAAAATGTTTAAATTAAGCAACTGATGTATTTAAACAACTCTGAATCCATTAGTTATACAATGTATCATTATTTTATATAACTAAGGGGAAAAACAAACCAATCCTGTCAA